TAGGTTTTTCTTTATTGTTGGGCTACTGTAAAAGCCCAGCTAGGGTAGGAATAGACGTGGGGTGTCCTATTTAAGCATGAGAAGCAACTCCTTAGAGAGGACGGAGAAGACCAGGAGAAATTGGAGACACCGGAAGAGTACCGCCATTGGCTAAGTTTTATTGTTTCTTCCTTATGTTTTTGTTTATGTCGAATTCTAAGATTATGTGTAACTAATTTTCTTTTGCTAGGGCATGATGTAGCCCTAGTATGATAATCTAGTTTTCTTATTTTACCTATCTATTGATTGCCGTTTGATGTTGGATTCTTAATCACTGTGCTTAATAACTTGGTTGATTATCTTGATGCTTGATCACCATCTAGACTTTTAATTGAGTAATCATATGCAAATTAGAGTAAATACCATACTTAATTTGAGGCTTGCTTCATGTGATTAGGATTTGTAATTCGTCTAGGGTAAATACCATACTCCTAGGGTTTACATGCTTGTTCGAGGTTTTCATTGATCTTAATGAGTTTCTATGTGTTGATATTTGACCTAAATACCATAGGCGAATTGCATGTAGGAATATACGAGTTAGCCTAAATACCATAGGTAATTCATGAAAAAGGAAAACTAAGCGGCGACATCAAATGGTTAGTAAATAGGTAGGTGAGTAAGAGGCTAGATCGGATTACTAGTGGTGAATTCATTGTCCTAGTGCTTTTATCAATTTGAATTTCTCATCCTTGTGTTTCGTTATTTTCTACTTATTTTGTCTTCTAATTTCGTTGTTAATTAAATCATTCTTTCAAAAACCCCTTTTGTGTTTACGTGAGTATGCTACGTGTTTAATTTCTTGTTTATATAATTAGAGTAGTTAAAGTATTTTGTGAAGGAAATTAAGTTAGACTAATTGGAAGTTGAACTCAATCCTCGTGGGAATGACCTCGTATTTGCCATGCTATATTATGATTGACCTTGTGCACTTGCGAGTATAATTTGTGTTTAGACTAATCTTTATAATCTCAATTTTTCAGGTTGTCTAAAATTCACAACATAGCCGATGCTGATTGTTCGGAGCCTTGGGCACTTGGGGAGTTTAAGTGATCCACGTGTCAATTGATGAGTGGAGGATCAGATATGGTACAAACAAACTTACCAAACCAAGTGATGCAGCTTGACGCAAAAAAGAAATTGAAGTTGATCCAGTCTTGGTGTTCTTCACAAAGTCAACTACTTGCATATGCCTCTCATAGTCATCATTCCTAGCCTTGTTCCTCGAGGCTCCTTAAGCCATAGTCAGCTGTAATTCCGCACTCAAAGTTGCAAAAACAGCATGAAAACTATGTCCGCTTCAACAAGACCGAAAACCTTCTAGGTAGGCAACCTAGTTCTTCGCTCCCAATAGGTCATCAGGTCCCTCAAAATCCAGTACTCGACAATGTACTGTTTGATCAATGCATTATTAGGATATGGTAGAAGTTCAAGGCTTTTGGGCAAATGGGTCTTTGGGGTTTCATGGTCCGCGTCGCTACCAAGCCGGGAATCGGGCTCAAAAGCCCAATACTTGTCCTGGAGGCCATAGTTGAGGGAACTGGGGAGGTTTGCTAGGAAGACATGGATGGAATTTTGGGGAGAGTGAAGGGCATTTTGGTAAATTAAGGATGATGGAGAAGGAGAAGAAAGAGGATTGGAAAGGAAGAATAGAGAAAGAGTGAGCACGCATAGGAGAGTGAAGGCGAAGAAGAGAGTGGGAACATAGCACAGTTAAAAAAAAATTATTATTCTAATTAATTAATTAAACATATTTACATTATTTAGTCCACATGGAAACGTATGGGTGAGTCTACATAGCAACACTAATTGCTACGTCATTATTTAAAGGAGAACATGATGGTCAAACTAACAGAGGTATGAAAATGATATGAAAATAAACGTTATGTATGCGGCTGAGACGAAAAAACTTGATGTATCGAAAGCTAAAACTCAGTAAACTTCAACGTAGTAAAATGAAAATTACTAATTCTTAATTTTTCTCCTTGGAATATCTCACAACCATGAATCTACTACTCCTAATTTTTTTTAAGAGAAATTCTACTACTCCGAAAATTATTTTGGTTTAATTACTGGTTTTCCCTAAACTCGAATATCGGTCTTAATTTATTGTTTTGATTTATTTATTTTTCTTTATTTTTTAATTACAATATTGTCCACATAGGAAACGACAAATCCCTATTGCATGTTGTGTGTTACATAATTTTATTAGAATGGTGTAGGGGACTTTTTCTTCCGGAAGCTACAAATGGGCTGGGCCGCTGTAAGGAGCGAACTGATGGAATTATCCCCCTGTGTCTAAGTTCAAAAATCAAGCCCCAAGAATGTCTCGAAAGGGTAGTGAAGCCTTAGGAAACTCCATGGTTACCTTCACCAACGAAAATAGCAACAACTTACAGATAAAATTTCTAGCTTGGCATGAGAGGCTTGTGGCATGGGAGCAAAATTGTCATGAATTTAGCACTCAAAGAGAGAGAGCTGTGAGTTCTTATGAGAGACAAGGGTTCTAAGGGAAAGAGGAAGGGATTCTAAGAAGATTTGATAAAGGGGGAGAAAGATGGGAATGGGTGGTTTAAGGTTTCTTCCGGCAGCTTGATAGTGACTCTGTCAAATGTTAGAACAGCATGGCAAGAAGGAAAACTGAGGAAGGAGATGAACTAAGCACGAAAATTGTTGGTTTTGAAAGTAAAAGCGGAAGCTTGCTCTCTGGTTGTGGATGATTTTCGTTGGGTAGAAGAGGCCCTATTTATAGCCGCTGGAAGCCATCTGTTTCCAAAAAACCCAAATGACTTCCAACCTATTTTGCCAAGTTTTTCCCTTCCTTTCTCTCCTCATCCTTTCAATCATCTTCTTTTGGTGAAATCTACTCTGCTCCTTTGCATAAAATCAGGGATTTTGGGAGCTCAAGGCCCCCTTTCCCGCGGCTGTCTCTGTGAAGCATTCCTATTTTCAGATATCCCCTTCCTCTCTTCCCCTCCCTTTTTCATGGTCAGATA